TATAAGTTGATATGTGGGCAATTGAAGTCACCTACAATACAGACCCGCGACCTTCTGGCATACTTTTTGACTGTAGTCAGCCAGTTGATACCGTTAGCTTGAGGGCTTCGGTATATAACACTCACGGTTGTAGTTGCACCAGTAGCGGCCTTGACCGACAACCAGAGTTGTTCCACACGGTTGTCTTCGGTGCGTGCGCGTTCTAGAATTGATACTACTAAGCCGTCAGTGGCATACACCAAGACACCTCCATGTATCCTATTAATATGGTCGCAGCGGAAGACGCTGTTCCCAGGCACATCGATCTCACTATCCTTTACTGACTCGGATACCAGGTCTCTGTCACTGCAATAATAGCAGGGCGCTTCTGCTCGATAAGGATCAGTATTTCAGCCATATTATTAATTAGGCTTTGCGCATTCGTTAGCAGGATGCGTATAGATCTATCAGAGCTTCCTGGGCCATTATTAGTAATGGTTTGAACAGAAGTCTCCTCTTCTGGACAACCCGAAAATTTATTATGCGGAGGTTATTTTACCCCTCGGCACGACGTTGTTTTAGTTCTGCGACTGCCTTGTGCTGTTTTATTCTGTACTCAGGCGATAGGTCTGCTTGCATCGAGATATTGCTTCCCTCGAGCCTCCAGCAGCGGTTTAGCAGAAGTTTTGGGGTTTGCTGGGACTTGAAGACCGCCTTTAGTGGTCTAGGCCGTCTGCCCCCAAGTGAAATTGTTTTGTTAGAGGATAATGCGATTAATAATTTATTGATAAGAAGGCAGATTTTGATTTTCTTAGTCAAAATGTTTTATCCACGGATTCCGCCGTATTCCCCCGAATTAGTCCGTCAAGAGCAGGAGGGATCCGGAGATTGTGCATGTACGGCGACGTCGTCCATTTAACGAAAATAAAATTAGGCCCACAAACCACACCATTAGAGGAAATTGTTAAATACCCATGACGTCCGAAGACTGCAACTGCCGAAATCATAACGAAATGCCCCATAATTGATCGCGGAATTTAGGCCAAATCGGACTTACTTCAAAAGTTCGATAGCGTCGTGCGCTGATGACCTCAGTACTGTTGTTTGACTAAACAAGTAAGGGTAAAAATCAGTTTATGATGGGCAGCATAGGCAAACTGTTTTGCGTATAAGGAAAAAGTGTCGTCTAATTTGAGAATCAGAATTCCGACTTTGAATTTATCCAGGAATAGTTTCAAATTAGGCAGCTTGAATTGCACTGATTAACGTACAATAATCAAAATGAGGTAAGCTGACGAGAATCAATGCTGGCCTCCAACTAATAATACCTCATCTATTGACAAATCGTGTAATGTACAGTAGACGCCGTTGATCATGCAATATTTCGACATATGCGAAAGA